GGAGGGGGCGGGTACAGCTGGCTCTGCCTCTAGATAGGCAGAGCCAGCTGTCACTCACGCAGCTGGGCGGATCCCGTCATTTAAGTCGGGATCCGCTCCAGGTGCGGCGTCTCAGTATACCGCGAGCTGTAGCTCGCGGTATACTGAGCTTAGGGTGACGGGAGGACGCTAGTTTGTGTCCTCCCGTTACCCCAAGGAGAACTATGGGGAAAAACACTGACCCCATAGTTCTCCTTTAAGTGCACCTGATCTTGCTTGTATATGTGCAGCCTACCCAGGTCCACCCCGAACTAAACAATTAAGCCCAGGATTGGGTGAAACGTGTTAGAGAGGCCAACCTGAGGCAGGACTTTGTGTATCAGTGTGAGCTTTAATAAAAGAAGTTTCCAGCGACAAATAGAGTGTGGCCGGATATTGTATTGTACGGCAGCTAACGTTGGAGTGAGAATGAGCACCAACCAGTGAGCACCGGGATTTCCCCTGCTTGTGCGCTATGGAGGAGTGGTGCAATCCGTTGAGTGTTTTGGATCAGTACATGGATGTTTTCCTATCCAACAAACTGGTCAGCAGGATCTGTGCATACATAATCTCTAGATTATCTGTCATTAGAACCAGAGCCCCCTCAAGACTATTCATATGCAGTCCACAACCAATGAATCTAGTTTCACAAGTTGGTGACTTTGTGTAACGCTTCCTGTGAGCACGATGGCGAGTGTTGGATCTCAGCTGCGGAGGTAAGTGGAAATGGTTCAGTAGGGAGGTTCGCAGTAACACTTTAAGTCAGTGAGTGCAGTCGGAACCCCTTACACATCATACACCATTTATCCTGGGAGCATTGAGTTGTAATCTTGTTGTATAATCACGCTCCCAATTATATAGATTGTTTTTTTTTCAAATTTATGTTCACAATGTATGGGCCAGTTAATGGGATCATACATAATGGTCTGTGTACATAGACATTTGTGCTATGCAGTTGTATACTTTTTGCAGATGACAGATGTGATGTTGTCAGATGACATTGAAACAATGCTTTCAGCTTACACTTGACTATCTTAAAGTATATGTAACCCATAACAATAAACGTATTTTATTTGCTCCCTTTTTTTGTCTGCGTAATATACTATTGAACGTTTTTGTGTAATGTCTGTTCAATTAGTGCAAAAAATACCCAATTTTGCCAGAAATCTTGTGAGCAGATAACTTCCTGCGATCTCTGCCTGTGCACAAGTTGGGGTTATGGAGATGAGGAGGAGGGAGAGGAGATGAGGAGAGGTCAGTGTTCTTTGTAATGCATTAGAAATGAAGTAGGCAGAGCTGACAACACATGCTTTGGAATTCAGAGCCCAAAATGCTCCGTCATTGTCAAAGAGGAAGGTATGTGCACACTATTTCTGGCATATCCACAGTTATTTGTCTGTATTTATAGTATGTTTTAATTGATAAAACATGTGGAAATGTGCATGTATTGCAGAGATGTACAATATATATATTTTTTCCTTTTGCCCTCACATACACTTTAAGGGAAATACAAAGGCTGCCATTGATGAACACCTTCTAAAAAAAAGTGTAAGGCCCTATACACACTTGTCTGTTTTTGGCAAATGCCCATTTTTTTTGCATTAACCGTCATCAGATGTGCATACTGGTGTATTCACATACAATGATTATGCATTACATGAAACACCACTGAAGTGGAGTTTGGAGCCCCAGACTGCTACACATTCTACCCTTGTTTAAATCACCACTGTTCACAATACACATACTACAAAAATACAATTAGTAAGCGTGTAAAACCTTGATTATATACCTGCAATCCAGAACTCTCTTTTGGTGGTTAATGTATGTTGGTGGAATGTCACCTTCTAATTTGCCAATACGAGGGGTTTTGGATACATTTGCACACAGCAAAAATCCACAAAATACATCACTGCAAGAAAAACAAATCACATTAAAAAGATAGCAATGCTGATGCAATTTTTTTATTTATAATTTGGCATGTACATTTCTTAATTATAATTGCCAAATATATTTGTAACAGTATTTTCTATGTACTCTGTATCATTAGTGAATCACAATTGACAAATAATAGTCTAATAATGGGATCATTTGGAACTGAAACTACATTAATGAACTTTTTCCTGTGAGCCTGCAGGGTTGGTAAAGAGTATGGTTGATTACATACTTTATAGAAAAAGAAGTATAAAGTATAAATAGAATAGGAATGGGAAATAGAAAATTTCACGTACTGCAGCTAGAATGTGATAAATACCTATATCTTGGTTATGCTAACACTAATTTAAAAAAAAATCAAGGGAATGTACTGTCATTCCAATGCAGTATGGTAATACACATTACAAATATAGACGCAATACAAAAAAGTGGGCCCCACAGTACACAGCCCTGCAACAAGAAGGGAAATGTCACCCCTGAAATGCTGTTTTTCAAATCTAAATTTTCAAGGAAAAAATACACTAAAATTAATTTTAGTGCATGCAAACACAAAAGGCAATAAGGTTGTATCGAGTAAAGGGATACCAAACATGTCAAGACTCAAAACTGTGTGCGCCTGCTATACATCAAAAAATTGCGGCAACCAAAATTATCAGCCTTTTCAGCTCATCAGTTTAGAGTTAACCATAAATGAAGAACCTAAAATTATTTATCTCACCAGCAAGCCCCCTATGTGATAGCATTGGGCAGGTCACAGGTACTCTTTATGGAGAGATCAGGGGTCTTTTAGATCCCTAATGTCTCCCCTGTCCTCTGCTCCCACCAAATGAGCACAGACTGTGCTTGATCAGCTGTTTACCCAGCTTTTGAGTCAGAATTTTGACAGCTCTGAACCCAGAAATTCTCAAAGCTAAACGCTTATGAGCTCACACTTTGCTGAAAAGAAGGGATGAGGAGTGAGAGAGCCCGGGAACCAAGGAGGGGGATCGGGAGGGGGTTGTGATCCTTCAGCTCTACCGCAACCCAGATCACTTTTACCTAAAAGCAGGGAACCTGGTAATAAAAACAGAAACAAGCTCATGGCTGACCATTTCAAGGCCTGTGCATATGAGATGCCCAAGGTTCTCAAGTATATCTAAAGCCATAACTTTTGAATAGAGTTTGGAGGGTTAAAACCGCTGTCAAGTTTTTTTCACCATCTGTGCCATTGGGGAGATTTCCTGTAGACACAACAGGTACAGGAACATAAGGGAATTGCCCTCTAAGCTGCCTGTCAGCATCCTAGCGAACAATGACCAGGGTTGCCTCTGGCACAGCCCTTAGTGAGAGGTTATCATTGAGTAGAGGTTGTGATACCGTCACTGAATGAATGACTTCTAGCTGAAGCAGTAGGAGATTCGGCGGACGCACTGGCCGGAAGTTTGAATTCATGTTGAACTCAACTTGAATTCAAGTTGAATTCATGTTGAAGTCAATTTGAAACCAAACCTCATCCCTAATAGACTGCAGTGCTTTTCTGCCCCCTTTCCCCCTAGCCAATTATAGAACCCTGTGCATTTATTACTTCATTCATCCTGCCATTCCTACATAGGTTAAGGGTCAATGTTGGCTTATATCTGGCAATAATATCAGTAGAAAGTTCCTTGAACAGTCCAAGTGTTTTCCCAAACAACTGGCTCCTTTTAACTTACTGTTTGTTGCACTTCATCCAGTTGCCTACACCATCCTTTCCACAATTTCCTTTCTCTGTGCCTTCTGCATTCAGTCTTTCATAACAGAATTTGTCCGACCCTGAAGCTTCTGCCATGACAGCAAAATAAATATTATTAATTAAGCTGTGAAGGCTTAACTTCGTCCATACATTTATGCGTTTGTTTCTTTCTATAAATTTTATGACGATGCAAATATTCAAATATTATCTGCCTGGCTTTACAGGTAATGTGCCATTGATGTGGCATTAATGTCACATGATGGGGGGAATTTATCAAAACTGGAGGAGACAAAATCTGGAGCAGGTTTGCACGGCAACCAATCAGCTTCTCTGTCTCATTTTCAAATCTTACCTGAGCAAACTGAAGAGAGGTGCTGATTGGTTGCCATGGGCAACTGCTCCAGATTCTCTCTGCTCCATGAGCAACTCTGATTGGTCCCCAGCACACTTTAGTAACAACCCAACCAGAAAGCACAGAGAGCAGGCAGGATGCCTGCCATATTCTTTATTCATTTTATATATTGGCTGGATTCTATATTCAGTTTAATGATGAATGAAATAGAACGGTTAAGGATGCCCTAATGTGAGCAGATCACCCAAAACTTCAGGCTGAACAGGAGTACAGCTAGAAACTATGGCAGGGAATCTTAAGATATACAGTATGCCACAGGATGATTTAGCCCATGAGAGTAGACCTTAAACTGAAATATCAATTTTTATCTTTTAATTCAAGTGCCTTACTGAAATACACTATTATTTAACAATTACTTTTGCGCCAGTCATCATATGTAAAAGTGGCAATAAATGAGCTGTATTTAAACAAACTGTAATAAATATAGTAATTAAACAAAGAAGTTGATGTAGTTATAACTTACTTTGTCCCCAGATGTGTTTGCACTGATTGTCTCTTGTCTTGCATTCCCCATTGTAACAGCGTCCCTGAAATATATTTATGTGTCCAAAGACAGAGATATAAAATTACAAAATAACACCTAACTATATTTTGCTGTTAAAAACACGATTATTTGTACATACCACAAATGTCAACTGCGGAGACATGCAAGAAACATAGTTCTATTACCTGTTAATTTGTTACGGTATCTTAGCTATGGTTTCCATTGAATAAAAAAATTAAAAGACTTTGATCTACAATCTAAAAATAGAAGCTGAATCTAGCCGGGGGCACCAAGAACCTGATTTCCTAAAGTATGACACACAGCGAAATGATCCTGGACCCGATTAAAGCTGATGTAAACCCTAACTAGATTATCCTTAAGCACTGTATATGATAAACAATTGTAAAGTTGTTTAAAATAAAACATTGGATGTCTGATTATTACTCTGTTCATTCAAGCTCATTTTTTGCTTTAGTAGGAATAAGGGGGCTGCCATTACTGACCTCCTTTTTGGAAGTACTAGTTGTCTGGCTGTTATGTTTACCTGCAATACCTTCAGAAAAGAGAAAAGCAGAAGCCTTTTCAACATGACAGTCAGACTCACAATGAGCAATGAACTCTCTCTCAGCCCCCTTGTGACAGCACTGGGCCAATAGCTAAGCACCAATGCTGTCATGCGGAAGGAAAGAGAGCAATTCACATGCTCCGCAATACCTGGAAGTATAATATACTGCATGGGTAGGCAACCTCGGCACTTCAGCTGCGGTGAAACTACAAATCCCATACATGCCTCTGGGAGTTCTGTTGCTGTCAGAGTCTGGCAATGCCTCATAGGACTTGTACTGCCACAACAGCTTGAATGCTGAGATTGCCTATGGAGTGGTAGTTGCGTTATGGAAAGTTGAGTGTGTGCTGCTGGGAAGGGGGAAGTTACATAAGCCTGCTGCTTGCCCAGCTCAGTGTGCTTTATCTCACTTTACTAGATTTAATATTTTACTAAATCAGGCAACAGAGCTGTCCTGGTAATCCATACCTAGAGCAAGAGACTTCCATTTCAGTTGGCTGCAGGCTTTTATACGCACAATTTGCAAGTAACTTTTGCATTAAAGGGAAGCAAATTGTAAGAAATATAATTTTTGTCTCCCTCTTTTTAATAGGTGTTAATAGGTTAATAGGTGTTTTTTGATAAAGAAGAGATCGGTGTGCGAAGCAATCAGCAATCAATTTCCTGTATTCTACCGTCTCTAAACTGTTGCTATAAGTGACTGACTATTGTAAATCGTCACTGCTCTTTGAATTAAACAATCTTTTGTGCATTATCTTTTAAAAATACATAAAACTTTTGTTGGCAATTTGTCTTTCTCTGTAAATTTTATATTCTTTAGTTCATGTCCATAGTTAGCCATATGGATGGCAATCAGCACGGACCATTACATCTACTTTTTATGTGATCACTTGTTTTGTTCACCTTAATGCCTTAAATTGCCTAAAGCAAATCTGTCGTATGTGAAGCAAGATCACATGTTTTAGAGTATGCTAGAGTACTGGCAACACTGTTTTTACTTTTTTTAGGCCCTCTTCACATTGCATTAATGCACCTGCACTAACACAACATATTATACAGCTAAGGTGCACTGCCCTTTCTTGAATTGATCATTCCTACAACCAGGCACAACTGAATAAGTGATGCAAACACAATACTTTACATCCTTCAATTTAGCATATAGAATAGGGAAGGATTAGGTCATGTTTTCAAAATGAAAAGTGTCCCTGTGCAAGGGGGGTACTTGAGGAGTCTCCCAAAATTCTGTAATTCCGATGCTATGGCATTGGGGGTTGCCTGCCCAGGTGCATCAGGAATGGGTCCTGCCACTGCCATAACAGTATACTGAGAAAAATAGGAGCTGAAGTCATTGATGGGGACCTATTTGTTGTGCTCTGTTGTTTAATTCTCTCTTATGCAGTGGCTCTGTGTGTGAGTTCCCTGCCTGTTGTATTTATTCAATTAGTAATGGAAATTAGGCTTGCTTATTTAGGATTTTAGTTTGTGGGAAAACACAAGGTATAGGTTATAGGGAAGTACCTTTAGATTGTAAGCCCTCACGGGCAGGGCCCTCCTTGCCAGTGACGGAACTACCGCCGGTGCGGGCGGTGCCGCCGCACCAGGGCCTGAGCCTACAGGGGGGGCTCAATATCCATTCAAACACAGCCCTGGGGCAGATATGGGGGGGCCTCGTTGGTGTCCGGCCACCGGTTACCATCCGATCATTATGCGGTGGGCCTGCGATCTCTGCGCCGGGAGTGTCCATTAATCACATTGGCTGACGGGCCCCCTGTGTGTGTCCATCTCAGCACCTCCCCTGTGTGTGTGTCCATCCCAGCGCGTCCTCACGGCTGAGGCCCAGGGCTGCCCCCTGCAGTGCCTGCAGGCTTTTTTTTTATTCTCGGCTCCCTCCACAGTTTTCGGCGGCCGACGGGCCCCCTCATCTCTGCGCCAGGAGTATCAGGTCTTTCCGACACTCACGGCGCAGACATGAGGGGGCCCGTCGGCCGCCGAACACCGTGGATGGAGCCGAGAATTTAAAAAAGCCTGCAAGCACTACAGGGGGCAGCCCTGGGCCTCGGCTGTGAGGACCCAGCAAACAGCTGCCTGAGTTCACGGGCGCGCTGAGATGGACACACACACAGGGTGGTTTTCTGCAGCCTCCCCCACCAGGAAACAGCCAGAGGAGGTGAAGGTAAGTTAATAAATAAAATTATTTTTTTTTGTAGCCCAATTGATGGCATTGCTGTATAAAGTACTGCTGGTATTTGTAGTTCTATATAGCGGGTCCCATTCTGCATTGCAGCAATGCAGAATGGGACCCTCTATAGAGGACTACAAATCTCAGCAGTACTTTATACAGCAATGACATTTTTTTGTGGTTGCTAAAGGGGATATGGGTTAGGGGGGTTTGTGGGGTTTATTTTATTTTTATTTTTTTTTGGGGGGGGGGGCAAAAATAATCTTGCACCAGGGCCCTTTGTTCCCTAGGTCCTCCACTGCACCTTACCATCTTGTCTTTAATTGTATTGTGATGTCTTCCTTATATTGTAAAGCGCTGCGCAAACTGTTGACGCTATATAAATACAGTATAATAATAATACATGGCTTCATTACAATGCTGTTGAAGGGGTGGAGTGCTAACAAAGTGTGAGGGATATGTTATAATCACCTTAAGAGATTTTATGGTGCTGCAAGCTTTGCGGGATATATATCACTAGGGAATATAACAAATACGGTTATAATTCTACCACAGGGAATTTTTATTTCTGGTGCTGGTAGATATTGTACTCTCTAAAACAATATCCTCATTTTGGTCATGCTGACAACTTTGTAAACGATTGCTGGCATTGGGAACATCACTTATTATAGGGCTGATTACTGTCATCTTAAAAACAAACATTCTCACTGGATTAAATGCAGATTATTTCATATAAATATTTACTTCAACACAAGAAAGAACAACAAAGGGCTATTACCTGGTTTGAATCACAGGCATATCCATCTTGTTTACGAAGATTGGGTGGACACTAGTAAAAAAAAAAAAAAAAGAAAAATGTCACCAGTGGGACACATTGAAATATATACTGTATGTAAAGCATTAGCATGTAAAGCATAAAATCTCCAGGGATGGAATTTTGGCCCTGCCTATGTTGCTTTAGGACATTGCATGCATAAATTATTCTGATCCTATTTCCTAGATCTTCTGACTGTACAAAGCTATCATTTCCATTAGCGTATTGATATTTTTCTAAAGGAGAGTTTTTACTTCAAAAACATAATAGGATTTCTCTAATATAAAATCTGCATTCCGTTTTATTTTTACACTTTTATAATAAAAATTATACTTATAAAACAAGAAGTGTGTCATTCCTCATGTCATCATAAATTTTATTTACAAATCTACCCGCCCTCCCTTAGAACATCAACTTTTTTTAAATTGCAATAATTGGTACATTTCTTGTTCATGTAATAGATTATATTTTGTTTATTTTTATATCTACTAAAGGAAGCAGCAATAATAGTTCCAATAAGAGGCTCTAACTACACCCTCTTACAATTTACTGTAGTAAAGAATCACTTCAAGGAAAAGCCCTTGATAGTGAACCAGTTTTGAAATGAAAATGTACCCAAGGAGCTATGCCTTGACTAAGGGAGATGCACACAAACTGGAGTTGGCTGAGATTGTAATCTTTTAACCTTGCAATTGTTGCTAATAAATGGTTTAAGCCTATGAGTGCCGCTGGATTCTTTTCTCTTTGTGGTATGACTTATGAGGACTTCAAGGAAGAGATCAAGCTACAAGCATAAGGTAGCTGGAAATGGAACTCTGCAAGGTGTTCCTGACATAGTTTAGAAACATCAGTCTCCTAGCCTCCATGTCTTTAGCTGCAGTACTTTCTGAGTCACTGAAAAGGAACAGCATTACCGTCAAACAAGTAGAAAACAGAAGGTACTGCAATAATATTTCAAAATATGGGCCATTGAAAATACTTTGTATGTTCCCTTTAAGACAACTTATTACAAACCTGTGCCAAAGCAGGGCAATGCAATAGTTGTACTTTAATTATGAACAGGGAATTCCCATTCTTACTGTTTTTCAGTAGCTTTTGAACACTCTAAATCCAAGAACAAAAGTGTATGCTATTGCAGCTTACCAAGCCTTACGTGAGATGGCTGCATTAGTTTGCTTATTTAGGGCTAAGAACATCTTGAGCATAGAAAGTATTTTTTCCCCCCACAATAACCACTGCCAGGCTAGTACTCCAAGTCAGCTTTTACTGTGAAAAGTTAGGAGCTTGTATCACCAATGAAATACTAGAGGTGTGTGAGAGTACGAATTGGCAGTGGTGAAAATGTTTTGCATATCACTAGGCATTATCTAACTTAAGGGCTATGGAACATATGGTCTCTGTACTCCTAAAATGTTTTATTATCATGAATGCATAGCAAAAATTCAATATGGGAAGGTAAAATTACAATACCTGGCCTGAGTCTCCTGTGCATTGCTCTGTGATGTCACAATCGTTCACTGCATTGCGACATTCATACTCACGAGGTAGAAACTGCAGAGGTAACAGAGAACACAGACAGTATTTCTTGATGCTTTGTAGACCTTGATTCTATTTCCATATGGAAATTCATTGTGAATTTGTCCCAGTAATTCCTACATGCTTACTGTACATTAGTGCACTAAAAAACAAGTTGCTTGTGTCCTACCATCTTTGACTGGCTACTTCCAGCTAGCGGAATCAGCCATGTATTCCACAATTTCCCCTTTCTTGACTACAGACTCAACCTATTGCTGAGTAATACTGCTGGGTGCTTCTACAGTGTTCACAGGCCTTATAAAATGCTTCTGGCATATTGTGGGTTACCTTGGGGTTTGTGGCAAATTCAAGATTTTGATTTTCATGCAAAGTTTTCTGCCTAAATTTCACAATCCAAAATCTTTAATGCTGATGCTCCTAAATCCTACATTTCTAAATTGATATATACTGTACAAGGTTTTTATACATTTATTCACCACACATAAGCACTATATTTACTTGAACACTGACCCTGAACACTGAATGTCTTCTTTTTATACATAGTATGTAAAAAAAAACTAAATAAAAAAGCTTTGTTGATGCTCCAAGATCCTTTTCCAAGAGTCAGTGAAACTAGACCTAAACCTAGCCCTAACCCTAACCCTAGATATAACCCTGATCTTAACCTAACCCATTGGGCCAGTTATAGGCTTTTACAAAAGCAGATCCACACTAATTGTTTACTGCTTGTTTCCCTTTAATCTGGACTTTTCAGTGATAAATGGATCGCAGAGATACAAATATGCATGTAGCCACACTGACTGCAAAAAGCACCTGGGCATCATAATGGCATAAACAGGGTACTTTACAGTATACCTATCATCATAATGTAGAATGATGGGTAGAAGATAAAACTGTTTTTTTACTGGCACATAATCAAAGACCTCTAAATGTATCATTAGACTAATCATCAGGTTTGTGGCTAAAACCCTTTGATGTTGGGCACATGAATTGTTAATTAATATTAGTGATTTATGTTTAGTTCATATGCCACTATGAACTTACGGGTCAGCTACCAGGGCTGCAGTAATCTTCTCTAATAGTCTATACAAGTAAAATGTATCTGTGAGTATAAAGCAGACAGCCTGCTGCCTCCAACAGCACATTCAATCAGTAGTTATTGCTAAAGTTATCACATGATAAAAGAAGCTGAGTTAATATAGAAGGACGTAATCATTTAGCATTATGTCTACATAGAGCCCTGAGTGAAGGTCACACCCATTATAAAAACAGAAGAAAGTAAATGTATTTACCAGACAAGATGTATTGCAGCATGGTCCATCACTGCACTGTGCTCCATTAGACAGAGAACATTTCTTGCAGCAATCTCCAATACAATCCTGGGTGTAATGTTTTGTCTATACAAAAGACAGTATATGGACATATCTAGGTGGTAAGTTGCTTCTCATTCACCTTTCCAAGCATTAGATATTGTACAACATTTTTTCTACCCTCCAAGTGGAGAAATGTGTTATTAAACAAGTACATATCAAAACAGAAAATGATGATCCAAGAGGAAATATATCAGAGGTACACTGGCATGTGGTTTTACATTGTAAATTGCAAAAAGTAAAAGGAACAAATATTTCCCATCTCTATAGGATCATAATTTGCTAGAAGGTGGATTACATTCAATCCTAGTTTTCTCAATAAATAAATTCAATAAGGTACCTAAAGGACGTCAGTATGGTACCATGTGTTAAGCAAAAAGAGAGAGATGTGAAAGGTAACACTAAAATAAACTTTACCTTAAACCAATAAATACCTTTGTCTGTGTGTAGTTTGCGAGAAAAAAAATTGTAATGTTCTATGCCTAAGTCAAGCATCTGTGGTTTATACAATGTGTATATCTTGATATCAGGGTGTCACAATATCCGGAAATCCGTGCCAAATTTTCCCTTTGCTCCCTGGTTCTGGGCTGCCAGCCTATGGCCTTTTACTAGACTGCAGCCAATCTGCACTCCTCCTTCCCTATTTAGGACTACCTCACTTGTTGCTCTTCGTGCGAGCCTTGTACCTTGTATCGTACCCCTTGTTTTTTGTGTGATCCCTGTGAGCCTTTTCCCCTGTGCTTTTGGCTTCCTTGTATCCAGCTGGTATCCTTGTTTGGCGTTATCCCCTGCTTCGCTCTTTGTGCCCCTGCTCTAGCCTACTTCAGTGTTTGCCTTTGTATTTTGCTGAATACTACCCTTTGCTTTCACCAGTGTGCTATGAGTCTCTTGTTTCTGCCTTCTTTGCTTATTCCCTTGCGTGTTTTCTCACGCCAGCCACTGTGTGTCTGCTTTCTTCTACCTACTTCCATCCTTTGTACTTCAGCCTAACTTTTTCTTTTGTACTGTAGTTCCATCAGTTACCTTCCAGTGTATCTTCCTTGTGCCACACATTTACCCCTTCACTTCTGCGCTCCACTCCTTCCTATAGCTTTGTTCTATACTTCTATCGCACACTCCCTGTGTGCATTTACCTCTCGGATCTGCTCTTTGTATTTAACCTTACTACTTCAATTGCACACTCCCTGTGTGCATTTACCTGTTATCCTGCTTTTCTTTGTATACATGTGCAACGCACATCTCGCTTACTTTTGTGCTTTATACCTTTTGTGCTTCTAAGTATACCTCTAGCTACTTACCTTTCCTGTTTGTTACTGTCTTCTGAGTCCTGTGCTATGCGTTCACACCTTTACTTGGGTGTGTGTGTCACACTCTCTCTAGCTCCTTGTGTGCTGCTGTTCCCATCTTCCTCCTCTTGGTTTCAAGTTTCTTCACTACTTTCTGTATCCAGTTCCCTGGTGCTTCCACTAACCTCTAAATCTGTGTGGGTACGCTAGGGGGCCGCAACCTGGAAGGTGTCAAGCAGCCAATCATACTCACCATTAAAGGCTCTGTCAAAGACCTGGCCCTTCTTAGATTCTGAGCCTCTAGTGCATCTCCAATAACGCACAGAGTCTTAGTTCCTCATCCCTGTTAATACACAGACCATTGTAGTTCTAGTCTCCCTGTGACCAACATCCCTGATATCACTCCAGTCCGTGCCTTCCATCCACTCCATAGTCCTGAAGCCTATCTCCCCTAGCATCCCGGTCCACAGACCGCGACACAGGATAAGTCTGGTTACAAGTTACAAGTACAAAGGGATCATTACAAAAAGTTTTTTTTTACAAGGAAAAGAGAGCCCTCCCCCTAAATATTTTGGTACTTGGCTGAGCAGCCTCTATGTTCATAAATTACATTTTTGAGGGAAAAATGCAATCATTTTTATTATTTTATTGATTTTAGTCAGTGTTGTAATGTAGGGGGTAACCTGCTCTAGGTTTTGGCTTCCAACTTCTACATATGGTATGGAGTATAAAGACTTTAGTATATTGATCAAGGCTAAGTTGTTTACTATTACCAAGCCGGCATGCCTGGGAGTTCAAACTCGGGGAACTCATAGTGTCATGCAAAAAAATGGAAGAAGGTACCAGGGACTCCTTGACATTTGGGCCAAAGTGGTTTGTAGCAAGTCTTATATTTAGAGATAGGAATAGCCTTAGGTAAGCCTTATGTTGTACAAATAGCTTAGTAAGTTTATTTAATGCCCTAAGCAAGTCTCACTTGCGGGCTATAAGAGCTTATTTCCATTCATCATCTGCTAAGGAGCCTACAACAGTCTCCCAAGAAGTTTTTTTGGAAAAAGCTACTGCCCACCACATGGAGGTAATCAGATGTTGATATAAGACACAAATTAATTTGGTTGGAAGTAAAGCAGCAAGAATCTCACAAATTAAATTTGCAAGAAGTTTCAATTTTTTGAAGCTGTACTAGGGTGGCATGACAGAGTTGGATATAACAGAAGAACACATGGTTTGTCAGATGAAATTCCTTTTTAAGCTGGTCAAAGGACTTCATTCTTCCTGTTCCTAAAAACAGACAAATGATCTCCAACTTGTACCACCATTCAGGGTGCGATATGGATGAGAATTCCAGTAAAGTACAGTTATTCCAGAGTTGGGTGCTAGAAGTCAATACCAAATATATTTAAGACTTATAATAATCACCAGATGTGGGTTCAGGGGCAGTACCATGGTGACTTCTAGATATCAGGTATACAGGATTAGGACACAAGGTGGCATAAGTTTTCCAGAATAGGTGTAAAAACTGGAAGACTCAGACCCCCGGTGAGGTATATGTGCATTGTATAGCATTTTAATAACATAATGTGGGGCTTTTATCAAAACTGGAGCAAACTAAATCTGGAGCAGTTGCTCATGGCAACCAATCAGCTTCTCTCGTCAGTTTGTTCAGTTAAGATTTGAAAATTAAAGATAGAGCATGTGCAATGTAGGGGGAAATTACATAGACAAAAGCCCCCGCCGCTAGTTGAAAATGTAAAAAAAAAATGTTTTTGAAGAACTTATTTCTTTCTGCTTTACTAAGTTTACAGAAATAAAGGTGAGTGTACCTAACCAGTTGTGGATCAGTCCTAGTACCTAACCAGTTGTGGATCAGTTAACATAATTGTACATCTTTTGACCTCCCACGTTAGAAAAAAAGGTAAACAGGCAAATGATTGGCTGCTATGGGCAACACTGGCACTTTGCTGGTTCCCAAAGTATGCTAATTAGTAATATGAGGCTTTAGGATTTTGACCCTTCATGTATTTTTAATCAGACAAGTTACCATTTTTTTACATTACAAAATTACTAGCACTGTAAATTGTCCTTACTGCTGAAGACTTACTGTTCGTGAACCACAATCACACTCTTCTCCTGGTTCCACATAGCCATTGCCACACTCTGTCACTTCAAAAAGCTGCCAAAAAGAAAAAAAATTTATAATATATTCAATTGTAATGTTGGCAAAGCAAGATGTTACACATTATAGACTCAAGAGTTTTCTTTTAAGCAGGTTGCTGCTAATCAAAATATCACCATTGCTAAGACTGCAAGAAGGCTATTGGTTTATGAAGAACTCTTTAGAAAATAAAAGAAAGTCTTTGTTGAAGCAATTATAATTGGCACTGTTTACCTGTCCAAATTTTTCCTACGGGCAATCATTTGTATCTAGGCCAGGTACCTTATAAATTATGGAGGTGGAGGCATGCTTCAGACACTGCTAGCATATGAGATGGAAAACAATCCAATCACTATTCTCCCCAATGAGCCTCAGCTGGTGCCATCTGCAGGTGTTCCAAGGTCATTACATCATTCAGAACAAAACAGCTGCGTAAGGAGCTGCCTTCCAAAATGTATGTGTACCTTGACTATATCTGTTCTTCTAAAAGATGCTGTATGTGCAGAGTGAGGGGAAAATAATTACAAATAATAAATTAATGCAAACGCTATATTTCGGCTTTAAAAAAATAGTTTGTTGTTGAGTTGTAAAAGTACCCTATCTCATACATTTAGAATTGCAGCACAGCTCTCGGATATAATGGTTCTCTTTGAGAAGCACTGGTCACATTCCAACCTAACAAGTAATGTCAGGCTGGTCTCCTGGTGTTGTTTACAAGGGACCTATGGGAGTTGGTGACATTAGAGGCTGGACATACATAACGGAACACTTTAAATTACAGTAAACAGGCAGACACCATGAACATTTATCAACATGAACAGATGAACAGATAGGTTAGCAACAGCTGTTGACTGCCCTATGAGGCAAAATAATTTTTCCAATATGATGGATCCTGTATTGACCAGAAGAGTAGTTTACAACTTGCGGGGTATTGGGGGCCTCAACTGCGGCCCCTAACATCACTAAAAGACCACACATAATATTCATTATATTTCATGCTTGAGTGTACTGTCAGAGACTGAACACATAATAAAGGAAATAAGGGTCAGAGTCTGTGAACATGCTACAGCTTTGGTGGCAGACTTGCTGAAGATGACATTTAGTGACTGGGGATATGTTGAATGAGGCTAGTAGAAAGAGATCCCTGCTATTACCCCTATACAAATTAGTGATCCCTACTACAAAGTGCTGTAGCTTACATGAGGAAAAACAAGTATGAAAGGGCCACATATGGTTTTCAGGCATCAGGGATCTAGAATGTTGGACTGTAAGCTAAGACATATGTGAGATGTATACATCAGTATAATATATGATGAACAACAATCAACAGAGAAACATTCTGTAATAAATTGTCTGAAAACAATGTTGTGGTCGTCATCATTTTTACTGCATTTCCAAATCAGAACTTTTTATTTTAATAGCCATTAAAATCTGAGGTTTGGAAAAGTTAAACAAAACTTTCCACATGACTGATACTGATTTTTATAGTTTAATGGGAAATCTACCTTTGTTGGCCTATTAAATAGACATGAGCCCCCTCCACGGGAAAGAAATTCCTTGAACTCAGCAATACTGCATTTTGAAAATCTCCGGGAATGGTACACTCTGAAAACATGGAAAGTAATCAGCAACTTACATGATAAAAAAGGGACATTTATAAAAATTGAAAAAAAAGATCTAGTCCACAGAAACTCAGCTCAAACTGGAAACTGTGAAATACAGACTGTTTTTTTGAATATCAGTTACAAAAAACCCCCACCTTTTTTCGGTGCATAGAGGTAATTTAGGCCAAATGATTGATTTTTTTTTCATATAAAAACCATATGCAGTACATGCATGGGGGTTTCCAGAGGGCTTCCTCTGCTGTCTCATCACAAGTGAAAATTCTGAAGGTTTCCTTAAAATTAATGTATAGTATACAAGTAATCAGCTTGATGCATATAATCTTATCTATATCCGGTAATGGTAAAAAAAAAACTTGTTTTGTATGTATAATAATTAGATATGTACATGGGGACAGACATATTTGCTCATTACATATGCAGGCTCTGCTTCCTGCCTTTCAGTGATGCACAATAGCTGTGCTTCACTGCTCCTTTTAACAACTTAAAGGAGAACTATGAGGTGAGTGGTTTTCACTCACCTCATAGAAGTGAGCGAACACATACCGGTGTTCGCTCACCTCTCGATCCTGTCACAGCTCTCTGCCGTGACAGGGGAGTGGCTGGATTCCCCCCTCCCCGCTCCGATCCACCAGCGCTGACTGGTGGATCGGACGGGGGAGGGGGCGGGTACAGCTGGCTCTGCCTCTACACAGGGAGGGCCCGCTGTCACTCACGCAGCTGGGCGGATCCAGACATAATTGTCCGGATCCGCTTCAGCTGCGGCGTCTCAGTATACCTCGAGCAGTAGCCCGCGGTATACTGTGGCGTCTCAGTATTCCGCGAGCTTCTTTAAGTCTGTAAGTTGTCCAGCTCATTAAAACTATACACACCTGTGTGGGGTATATCTTTCCACGACAGTTAAGAGAGAATCTTCAGATGGTAATCAGACGTTCAATTAAAAAAAAAAACTGTGGTGTTTTAAATGGCATTCACCTAATTTACATTTCAGTTTCTATCACAATGCACATGCAATAATTATTCAAGAGAAAATCTTAGGAACGCCTGTCTATATACCCACCCTGTTTCCTCCATAATGCATCCACCAAAGTTTTCTGCACAGTCGCATTCTTCTGAAAGGAGAGTGCCATTAACCATTAAGAATTCACATTTTTAAATGAACAAAATAATACATTCATCCAAAGTAATTTAAACACATTCAACATTTTTACAGGCCAATATATCATATCAATTTAAAATATAATTATGGTTATTATTTCTACAGTAGTGCACTGACTTTGCTGATAGCTCTCCTGTCTTTGATTAAGGCATACTTTATGTTAAGATCAATGGCAGGTATCGTTACAGTTGACATTGGCAGTTAACCCCATCAAAATTTTGCTATGGGGCCAGATTTTTTGTAGTCATGCCCCTGCATTGTAATCTCATACTCACTTGGCTTCAGCTTTCGAGAAGCTGGTTCCCACTGAATCCCAAGGTTTTGCGCTAAGCTCTGAGCCAGCTGCTGTGCCATGGCCATCAGAAAACCATACTGCAGAAAAAAAAACACACAGTGTAGAACACATTATTTTACCACAAAAAAGTTTTACATTTATTTCCAGCGAAACCTGATTATTTTAGCCTTCTGATATTCTTGACAAGCTGAAAAACATGTTGGTTTTCTATAACTTTCAGTGAATTTAGCGTTAAGATATTTCCACCACAATTCCCAGCTATACACAACTCCCCTAGGAGCTTGTTCTCCCCCAGGAGCTTAGCTAGCTCGGTTAATTGTTTTTAAAAACATCTGGATGTATTCCTAAATGCACAGAATATTACTGGTTATTGAGTTCTTATAGGTATATTAAGCATCAGAGAGCGTTGATCCATGGAATATCCGGTTGCCTTATGGGATCAGGAAGGAATTTTTTCCCCGGTTGGAGCAAATTGAACCGTGCTTTATAGGGGTTTTTTTGCCTTCCTCTGGATCAACATTGGGTAATTGTGGGCATAGCATTCTGTTTAGGCTTTTCTTATGTCTACAGGTTGGACTCGATGGACTTGTGTCTTTTTTCAACCTGACTAACTATGTAACTATGCAACAACTATGCAGCATATAGAAAGCCAAATTATGGTATAACACTCCATTAATATAGAATAGATTAATAGTAATATAGATAGTTAAATGGGGGGGTCTAGATGTGAAATGGTGTTATATGGCTGTCTGGAAGGGGTTGGAGTGAAGGACTGCTCTGTGGAAATGTTACCATTGGAATTTCAGGGAAATATAACAAGTAGAGAAATGACTGCAAGCAAATCTCTGTAACAGCAACAAGGTACATTGTCAACCACTTTGAATTTTCTTTTTTAAACGCATACAACTGCCACTACAACTGTGACTCCCATTGTTATTATTAACACTTCTACTACTAATAATAATAATATCAATAAAAATGTTGTTGTTATCATGGATCTGATAAGCTGGATCCCAACGTTTCCCATTTTTCCATATTTAGAGCAAATATTTTCTAGCATTGCGGCTGACTATTCTGATATAACCACACTCTGACCACCTTTTTTGTCTCAGATGTATGCAGACTTATGAAATACAGCAGTAATGTTATGCAAAGTGTCATGACCCATAGCAACTTATCCAAGATCATATTTTCATATCCCTAAGCCCTTTCTAACACCATCACCTTAAACATGTGTTTAGCTAAATCACTTCTGCTGAAGGAGTGAAGAACTATTGTGAGGAGGGCTACAAGAGTTAGGGTGGTTAGATGTAGAAGAGCATTATGAAAGTTCAGGAATTTAGAAATAGGAAGCAATGGAGTGGGTTGTTTGCTGCAAGGTGAGTTACAGGGGTTAGAGATGATAAATTGAAGCAGTACATACAGGATTAGAGATCAGAGGCCCTGAGCCACATCTTAGAGTGGTTAGGAGTGGCTATTTACAAAGTGGTATTGGTCAAGATGCTTTGCTCATCAATCAGAGTTGGGCCAAAGTAGAGGCAGGAGATGCTCTTGTCTTGGGCACTTTATTGGAGCAGCACACTTTGTCATCTTCACCTCGGGAGTCAGAGTACCTGGTCCTGACACTAATGTCAACAGAGCTTTTTGTTTTTTTTAAGTACAGAAAGGGTATATAAAAACACAGTAGGATGAGGGTCTGGTTGCTGCTTATGGGAATACATATACAGCATTTAAAACAGACCTTGCTACGGTTGTCATGGACAGAGGTACATATCCATTGAGAGAAGGATTTTGCAGATGCTGCAGAAGTGTATTGATGGCTGCATATAGACACAAGGTAGCACTAGGAGACAATAGATGACACAGGATGCTCTGGGGTGTACTGAGATCACTGGAGCGCATTGGGTGTACTTGGCACAGGGACACAGGGAGCAGTAGTATAGCAAACTCTGGAAGTAGAGGAAGGACAGACAACGCAGAGGACTGGAAGCAGAGATGGGGACATCAGTAATAATACTGCAACAGGTTGCTCGGCATAGCAACACATTGCCTGAACACCGAGCGATGTGTTGCCTTGCCGTTGAAGCCAGGGCCCTTTAGGAGAGCTGTGTCCTGATTTGCTTCAGTAAAACTTGGAATTACTGGCAGCTGCACGCTGTAGGGGGACCCAGCCCTGGATCACGGGACAGGTGAGTGTTACAGTTGTGTTGGTAGAAGATAACAATGTATGTTCTATAAAAATATTACCTCATTCACTCCAACGCCTCTAGGGATAGAGCATACTCCTCCAAAATAGCTCATACTGCTCCTCTTGTAATGAAAGTTTCCATTCCTTAATGTTGAGGAAAATAAACACAGAAACAGGTATTTAATGTATGAAAAAAGTTTTGATTTAAAACTTAAGAATATCTTCTGAACAAAAATAAATAAAAATTTTGCTTTGTTGAGTAAAAATTGTATTATTTTTAGGTACGTACAAGAGAAGGTGTACAGCATCAGCGTGTTGTTTAATATTATTCTGTCTGTATTTGGAGAAATCATGTAACATCTTCAGGGGGTCAGGGCCAATTGTTATGCGGTCCTTATCTGTCCACGTCTCTACAGCAACCAGAACCACTCGTGTGTTCAGCTGTTCTTTATAAATCTGTCAGTATAAAGAAAACAGGTAATGGAAACTTTTGAAAGACTTTGTTACTATGAAAAGGTGGTGTGGAGTGTTGTGCAGATATTATACTGTATTTATTGGCAGTTATGTGAACTGGTAATAGAAGAATCTTCTATAGGCATATATGCATTTTATAAAGATGAGTCAACTAACAGCCTTGAACGACTACCAAGGAAATGCGAGTTGGTAAAGAAGTGGTGGGAATGCTAATAGAAGTGGTCATGAAAAATCTTCATTTACTGACAGATGCAGCTATGATACTACTGTCCTGTCTGTCTGATGTCTAGTCACTGCTGATCTGTTATTATAACAGTGTTATAGAAACAGTAAATTAGGTTTAGAGTGGCCTAAACGAATATTGTAATTGGCCAGTTTGTGGGCACCATTAAGATATCCATAGAAATCTGATAATCATCAAAAGATCTGCATGATTTTAGCTGAGGTGGCAACAATCCTCACTGTCATAGATGCCACCAAACGGCCTAACCAGCTGAACTTGAGGTAAACAACCACTGGTGGTAATGTGGTAATATTGCAGGTTTTTTCCCCCCCCCCCCCCCCAACTGCACTGATATAAGTATGCATGTTTAGGCAGTGTACATGTTTATGAAAAGATCTTTCAACAGAAAGTTATTTCACCGGTCAGACCTGGTTCTAAACATCTGGCTCCTGAAGCTGTTGAGTACAAGATCACAAGGGAAAGCAGCTGAAACGGAGGAAGGAGGAGTGGGGAACAGGGGAGTGGCTTGCCTTGGTGCACCTGTGTGTTTGTGAGAACACACAGCTTACTAGCACACACACGGGTGGCTCCATAGGACCCTGCAAAGGAAAAGAGTCACCCTAAAACAGGATAATAAAGATCTTAGCATACTGTGGCAATTCTGCTTGTTTGACCTTTGCCCAGGGCATTTATCTTATTGGTACTTTTATTCTTCTCTTCCTCTTGGATTAACCAAGCATTATTTAATCTTTTAAGCTGTATAAAGAAGGGAATATAGTGATACAGCTTACCTTAAAAGAGAACTATGGGGTAAGCGTTTTTTCCCCATAGTTCTCTTTAGGGTCATGGGAGGACATATACTAACCTCCTCCCGTGACCCTAAGCATATTATATCGCGGGCTGTTGCCCGCGATATACTGAGAGCGCCACAGCCGGGACGTATACCGACAATACTGTCAAGATCCATGCATCTGCGTGAGCGACAGCTGGCTCTGTCGATCTAGAGGCAAAGCCTGCTATGCCCTCCCCCATCCACTGGCAGTCACTGCTCTCTGCAGGGAGATGATCGGAAAGTGAACGAGCGACGCTAAGGCCTGGTTCACACCTGTACGTTTTGTAGCGCATTCAACGCTCTACGAACGCTCTACAAAACGCTCAAACATGAAAATCCCATTGTTTTCGATGGGTATGGTTCACACCTTGCCTTATTTCAGCCCGTCTGAACGCGCTACAAAACGGCCTACGACTGAAAAGGTACATGAGCTTCTTTGCGGCGTTTTTGTCGCGCGTTTCCATTGAGATACAGCCAAGTAGCCCTCGCTGAATTGCGGTAAAAACGCGCGTCACGAAATGCGCGACAAATAGTAGAAAGGCATCAAACGCGCATATTCGATACGCCTAGGTGTGAACAGAGCCTATGTGTTTGCTCACTTCCCGATCAGTAGAACCGAGGCGTGACACCTTCTTTGTCACAGGCCAGCTCTAACTATGAGGATGAGTGAAAATCACTTACCTCATAGTTCTCCTTTAAGTTTAACAAAGCATCAGATAAAGTGACTACAGACATAAAAGAATGCTCACCCAATCCAGTCCTATAGGACTTAGACAGCTTTATGAGTCTAGGAATCCTACCAAACCATGGCAGACATCCCCTGCCCAAGTCTATCAACCAGACTGGATTTTTTTCTCAGCTGATAACTGTTGTTTACCATTCTACCACTAGAAATATTTGCTAAGCTCTTTTTCTCCCTTTCCATTGGCACCTGTCCAATATGAATGAGCGAGTTTGTACTATGACCTTCATTAACTGTATTCATGCACTAGCAATTTTTCTTGGCCTGTACAACCAAACTGAAGTTTTTGGGGGTTTTTTGGTCAGTTTTATGTGTTTTTCTGCTTAATTTTGTTCACTTTTCTTACATTAGTTAATATCAATTTACTTGCATCAGTTACATTTAAGTTTATCAAACTGCACATTGTTATTTGCTGCTATACTAAATGAAGCCATAGGGTAAATGTATATTTTTATTTGTAGGGGATAACTTTAATATGTGTTTTTCATCAAAACTTGTATTCAAAACGCACTTTAAAATAAAACAGGTAGCTGAAATGTGTTTTGCTCAGACCACATAATGTATGGCAAACTGTCCAATAGTCTTATTACAGGCCAAAAATAATTGCAAAAGGCTAGGGGATATACCAAAGTAAAAACGCTTACGTAAACCTAGTATTAATTCCATGCTATATGATTTAAACTATTATCCTAACTCTCAAATTTTTTTATTAACTATGATTCTTAGGAAATGAAAATGAGCTACATATGTAATCCAAACAACTTGAAGGGAAAGAATCTTTCAATTAACACACTGGCTTTTGTCGATGCCCTTTGATAATGTCAATTGCTCCTAATAACCCTCATTCAAAACCGCTTTGAATTACAAAAGTGGAAGCACAAACAGAAAACCTCCAATCATACAGTTAGTGAGATTGACACGTGTGAGAACAAGAAGTTCTAACCTTATGTATCTAATTATTAGTACATCTCCCTGTTCACTAATGCAGATACTTTGGATTCCAAGTTCCTCACTTAGACACTTTATTTCTGCTATACTACTTAAAGAATATCTAAACCCAAAAATGTAAAGTGACTCAACTCTCCAGTTAAATCTTAGAAATTCATTCAAGTAACTTATTTGTTAACAAAAATGTAGCTTATTTGTGTATCACTCAGCTGTAGATCCTCAAATCATCTCTGAATTGGTGCTGACACTGTCCTTCCATCTGGAGGGTGGTGGCGACTTTTGTTCCCCATGGTCTCTGTGTGTGTTGTAAAGTAGCTACCACTTCAAACTCACTCCCGTGATGGACTACAATCTCAGCTTTAGTTTACTCAATTTGTAATGTTTAGTGTCACTATAAGATATTGCAGCTCCATTTTAAGATGTTATGGCTGCATTAGGTTTTATTTATGTTTTTCTTTTCTTCTTTTATGTGGTGATCCAGACAGCAAATCTATAATTTTTCTACTTCCTTTACCAGACCAAGCTGTCCAGCAAAAATGGCAGATAGAGGGTTAAACAAATCTTTTAACACTGACAGGGTGCTTACAATGGTCAGCTTTTATTCATTTCTGTAAAACCTTTATCCCATATGGAATAGAAAAACTGTTGTTGTAACTGCTTAAAAGATGTTAGCTGGAGCATGGATTTAATTTGTTAAGTAGGCCATACACTGAGTAAATATTAACCGGTTCTTAATGTACCGGCCGAAATTCACACAGTGGGTGCCCCTGTCAGCACCTTTCTACCCGAAGGTGCAGGTTGGAAAATCTTCGGCGGAATGGAGCTTCTATATAGAGTGCAGCCACCCTAAAGTAGGGTATACATGGGCAGATTTTCAAACGAACGTTTGTATGAAAAATGTAATTGAAAAATGATCAATAATGCCATCAAAGACTTGGCAATTGACGTTTATAATTTTGTTTGATTTTTATTTTCATTTAACATTTGATTTTAGAATGAATGGAGTTTCCCGAATGAAAACCACATTCACTGTTAGAATTTTGTTCGATCAAGAAAAAATGTCTAACACACTGAAAAGTGAAAATAATATTTTCTTTTTGTAAATAATTTCCAATGGACCTATTACGTATACAACCTTTTACTATTTTTGTGCACTGTACTTTTAAAATATATCTAAAGCCAAGAATGAAACATTCATATACTTCATCCTACCAGTCCTTAGATATGGTAGCTGCAATAGTTTGCATTTTTCAGGCAAATACATTTTGTGCAAGTACTGAAATATACATGTGATCCAGTCAGAAGCTTGTGTCCTTGTAACTTTCTGTGGACTGAACCAAATTCTCAAACAATGTTATCAGCTTTCTCAGCTACACTATGTTACCAAAAGTATTGGGATGCCTGCCTTTACACGCACATGAACTTTAATGGCATCCCAGTCTTAGGCTGTAGGGTTCAAAATTATGTTGGCCCAACCTTTGCAGCTATAACAGCTTCAACTCTTCTGGAAAGGCTATCCACAAGGTTTAAGAGTGTGTCTATGGGAATGTTTGACCCTTCTTCCAGAAGTGCATTGGTGAGGTCAGGTACTGATGTTGGACGAGAAGGCCTGGCTCGAAGTCTCCATTCTAATTCATCCCAAAGGTGTTCTACCAGGTTGATGTCAGCATTCTGTGCAGGCCAGTCAAGTTCCTCCACCCCAAACTCCCTCATCCCTGTCTTTATGGACCTTGCTTCGTGCACTGGTGCGCAGTCATGTTGGAACAGGAAGGAGCCATCCCCAAACTGTTCCACAAAGTTGGGAGCATGAAATTGTCCAAAATGTCTCGGTATGCTGATGCCTTAAGAGCTTCCTTCACTGGAACTAAGGGGCCAAGCCCAACCCCTGAAAAACAACCCCACACCATAATCCCCCCGCCACCAAACTTTACACTTGGCACAATGCAGTCAGGCAAGTACCGTTCTACGTCGCAGACACGTCTATCAGATTGCCAGACAGAGAAGCGTGATTCGTCACTCCAGAGAACACGTCTCCACTTCTCTAGAGTACAGTGGTGGCGTGTTTTACACCACTGCATCCAACGCTTTTCATTGCACTTGGTGATGTAATGCTTGGATGCAGCTGCTCGGCCATGGAAACCCATTCCATGAAGCTCTCTACACACTGGTCTTGTGCCAATCTGAAGGCTACACGAAGTTTGGAGGTCTGTAGCTATTGACTCTGCACACAGTTGGCG